AGGAGAATAAAAACAAATATTATTACAAGATGAAAAACCAAGTAGCTTTTTGATATGTTCTGTACTTTCATCCACCAGATCTCCCTCTTCTCATTTAAGTTGCCAGAAAAACCAAACATTGCCACTGACTGATATTCAGGAAAAGGAGACACTGGTTATCTATAATTTAATTAACAAATTCATACAGCTTCAGAAAACACTAATGAAAATATTATTTCTTTGCACAGTAATAATTGTTCCTTTTGCTGGCCTTGATATGTGGGGAATGATGCACTGTATTAGCAAGGCTGATTTCATTAAAATGACAATCAAAACTCTGGAATTGTATTTGAGCAGAGCAAGAGAACAAGCACAGAAGTTTGGACAGGAAGCATCAAAAGTTGTCGTTATTATGGACATGGAAAATTTCAACCTACGTCAGTATGCTTGGAGACCAGGTAATTATAATCATCACAGGTGCAACAGACAAACATGTAGATGATAGTGTTATGGCAGAAAATTAATTACACAAGTGAGCATCAAAACCCACAGCTACAAACAGGCATAAACAGACCCCAATGCAAACTTGCATCAGTTTTTTGTCTGAACCAAAGTGCAAAATTCTGGTAATTTTTGTAACACTTTCCACCCTTGCTCCTATTCATGTAAGAATAATTGGAGGAGTCAGATGTGATGGTATTTTTGGACAAGTTCAGTGTCATGTTTACAGACTTGTCATAAGCCAAAATATTTGTATGTACAGTCATTACCTCTTGGTGTGGATGTGAAAACATCTCTGGCAAATTTCAAATGGACATTGTCCACTGTCTGAGGTATATATGACATACACAATAGTTCGGGATTCTTCCCACCTTCAAGTAATTGGTTATTACACTAACATATTTTTATCTTCAGAAGAAGCTTTGTACAAGATTGGAAATATGTATTTCATACTGGAATACACAGACACATTCTTTGCAAATTCTGAATTATTAATACATATATCTTTATTACATTCTATGGATCTGTAAGTTAGCCAGATAACAGTAGGATGTGGAATAAGTCATAGTAATACGATACAAATACAATTCATACTATTATAAATTTGGCACATGATAGTGTTTCAAAAGCAGTGACATGTTACACATAAATCTGCCCATTGCACACAGTAGATAAATTATACTATCCATTTATATTATATAAAGGCAAGAAAACCTTAATGATCATTATGAATTATTTGTAAATATATATATATATAAAACAATCATAAATGCTACTACTAATTTCCGATTTAAAGTTTCATATACAAGTGCACTGTTATGCTTTAACTAATTATAAAATATTCTGAGTTATGGATGATGTGATATTAACAATTATTAAATTTTTGAATTTGCCATTTAATTTAACATAATCATTCTTCTATTTAAAGCCTCATGGCACACTTGGCAAAAGCTTGTAGCAGACTGGTTGAGAACCACTGCTCTACACCTGGTTAATACTAATGACAACTTCACCACTAATGTTTAATTATGTACTGCAGCTGGAGAAGCTGTCATGGCACTGCTCCAAATGTATGAAGCCAATTATCCAGAGATCCTGAAAGCTTGTTATATCATTAATGGTAAGTAATGAATACAGATGATGGTCACCTTATCAGCCTATAAATTTACATGAATATTGATATTATTTTGTGGCAATACAATTAACATTCAATAAATGGTGCTCAGAAATGAGTTTTATATTATGTCTCAATAGTGTTCATATTTTTTATTACTTTCAGCTCCCAAAGTATTTGCCATTGCTTTTTCTGTGGTGAAGAACTTCCTGAATGAATATACACTGCAGAAAATCCAAATCATTGCAAGTGATCCTCGCAAGTGGCAGCCTTTGCTGCTGAAATTGATTGAGTCTGACCAGCTGCCAGCTCATTTTGGTGGAACCCAGACTGATCCAGATGGCAATCCAAGATATACAACTGAAGTATGTTGTGTTACACGCTTTATCTATGAGCCATTCTAATCTGTTTTCAGGTCACATTTGTTGCAATTATTAAGACAAAAAGAATTACTGCATTCTTAACATTGTAATTTTATTTAATCCAGATTCATCAGGGAGGGAAGATTCCAAAATCTTATTATGCTAAGAAGACTGACAAGACAAGTCCACCAGCGAATGATACCTTCACAACAGTAGTGATTAAGAAAGGTGAAAAACTGAGTCTGCCATTTATAGCTCCGGTAGAACAATCCATACTGAAGTAAGTAACAAATAAGTTTAATATTATGAAGATCATTTCTAAAATTTCTTCTTGATGCAAAATCAGATGTGTGTTAAAAAATAAGATTAAACTGTTATGAATTCTCACTTATCAAGCAGATCTTTTAATAATTTGAATACAGTGTATAAAAGTTATTTATTTTTATACTGACTTATACTACACAGGCTTCTGTCATCAAAACCAGTTTTTAGAATAAACTATTAATTACTGTCATCACACAAAAATAAAACTCTACTTTCATGAAGAAGACTAAGAAATAGAGATGCATTTCCACATGCATAAAACTTCTTCAGCTGCTATACACCCAAAACAATCTAGGTAGTTCATGAATCAAACAGCACATATATCAGAATAAATGTTGACTGACGGCTGTCTTCTGGGTTGTAGCGCTATGTAGCCTGGTAGAAGTTTACCAACGTTTCAGAGGTCCCTGCTGCCTCCATCATCAGGGCGACATTTACTCTAGGTGTTACAACCCAGAAGACGGCTGTCTTCAGACTTTTTGCCATTAAAACCTCAAAGCCTACTAAATGTTGATTGTTCAATATACTTCAAGGTGGGAATTCCGATCTGAAGACCATGATATCAAATTTGGTATAATGTGCAAAGACGTTAATGGAATTGAGTCTACAGCAGTGCCATTGCACAAGGTTAATAGTCACCAATCAGATGAAATTGGTTTCATCACATGTCCAGCACCAGCTACTTGTAAGTATGGACCTTTGACAGACCACACACACTATAGAAACAACGCAAGGAAAAATTTAACATTTGGACAAACATATAAAGTAAAGAATTGCAAATAAATCCCTGTACAGGGGACCCCCTCTGCAGTTGACACACACATAGCCTTTCAGGAAATTCAGTTGCTGTGGAATCAAGTGTTTCATCAATGACAGCACAGCAACCTACCAAATCTAATCAATATCCCCACTACCAATTTCCCTAATGTCCATATCAGTGTCGACTTCTCACCTGTGCTTTTATCTCCCATCTGGGAGACACAAATGTTAAGTATTCTAGGTTGATCTAATAAGTCTTATAGTAAAAGCATGGAGTTTTAAACTAAACTAGCAACACTGTTTATTATCTTGTCCTTCGATTTCATAGCTGTGGTTCAGCGTGCAACTTTGGCTTCCGGGGATGGCATATGGTCATCTCCCATCAGATAGCAGCATGCTCCTCTGCTCCACCAATCTTCACTACCAAATCCAACTCTTCTCCTACTGTGCCTGCCCTACATAAGACTGCCAAAAATGACCATCCATTACAGATTCACCCTGATGATAGCAAATGAAATATTTTCTGAAATGACAGATAATTCTTAACATTTGATGCAACCTATCTCTGAAAGCCATAGTTGCACAATATATATTACAGCAAAACCCCTCAAGTTGGACACCCCTATATACTGGACACCCCTCTATCCTGGACACCCCTTTATCCTGGAACTTGAACACCCCTTTTGTTGCAAGTTGGACAGGTTCATGCACTTGACTTCGATGCTTTTCAGGGAAACTTTTTCAGTTACATATTTTGTTATTTTGAATTTCTGACTGATGAATGCCTCCTCTTTGGACCCACCATTGGAATGCATTGCAAGTGTTCTAACTTTTCTTTTGCTGAACCCTTAACTGGACTACAGTATTGCAGAAGACACAGACTGTGCTTGCATTTGGGTTCAGACTGTGTTAACAGAAATGGAATTTTTCTTTTTGCGACGGGGAAGCGAAAATTGGTGAAATCAACTTTAGAAAATGTTATTGAGGCTGGGGTGTAATGTGTAATGTGTGGGAGTGGGCTTCAAAAGATTATTATTAATACTGTTGTCATTAATTCTTAATTCAAGTAAGCCTCCAGCAGTTAGTGTATGTAAGTAAATAGATTATATTGTCATTAGACCACAATCTGATTTTTATCTTTCCCTCTATCTTGGACACCTCTGTAAGTTGGACACATTTTCGTGGAACCCCAAGTGTCGAACTTAGAGAGGTTTTACTGTATATTGTTGTGCTGTTAACCTGTTTTACTATTTTGTATGTTTAGGATTATAATTTGTTTCAATAAAGTTTTTAGACACAGCTAATTCTTCTATAAGCCTTAAGGCTGCCATTCCATACTTCATGTGGATACAACTGGTTACTGTACTAAGAGTGAAAAGTGGCACTACAGCAAAGCTTTCTCGGAGTATTTTGATTTTCCCTTGCCATCAGTATAGATTTTCCATACCTATGTATGAGGGTGGGCTGAAAAGTAATGCCTCCTCTTAAATAAAACATGAATGGGAAGGAATTCTTCAATAAAACAAAAATGTATACAAAGTTTACAGTTTACTCTTCAAAATTATACATTATTTTTCTACATATTCACCTTCTACTTCAATACACGTAATCCAACAATAAACTAATTTTTTAAAACCATTTATGAAAAAAAAATGCTCACAGCAGACTTCATTTCTTCATCTGACCCTTGAGCTTAGGGAAGAGAAAAAAATCACTTGGTGCCAAATCTGAGCTGTTTGGGGGATAAAGAAAGACGGAAAATCCCAGACATTTAATCGCTTCAAGTGTTCAAGCACTGCTATGAGGTCTAGCATTGTCATGTTGAAGGACTACATGGTTTTCATTCCAAACCATTTTGAATCTTTTCATAAACTTATTTAAGGAATCAATATAACGTTCAGAACTACTGGTTGTACCTCGTTCCATAAAATCAGCAAGAATTACGCCATTAACCGAAATGCAGTCAACATCACCTTACCAGCTGAGGCTTGAGTTTTGAATTGTATCAGTTGTGGTGACTCCTTGTGCCGATATTCCACTAACTGTTAGTTCTCAGGATTGTAATGGTGCACACAGGTTTCATCTCCAGTGACAATCCAATATAAGAATACATCACCTTCATTTTCAACATGCTGCAGAAGTTCCTGAGGAATGCCTCTCAGCTTTCATCTCATCAACGTGCATGAGAGGTACCCTCCTGGCACACTTTTCGCTCTTTATAAATGCCTAACCTTCAGCAGATTCCTTTTCTTTAATGCATCAGTTTTCACAAATCAGTTCTTCAACACGATCCTGATGTGATTTGTCCATTGCCATTACAGGTCTTACACTTCGTGGTTTGTCAGTCAAATCTGCTTTCCCGTATTCTTTTTTACACATCTTGGCCCAACGTCTAACTGTACTAATGTCATCACATTGATCACCATAAACGACTTGCATTCATCGATGAATTTCTATTGGATTTTCTGCAGTCAAATCTCAGCAACAGCACGCTGCTTGAACCAAACAACTTTACTGTCCCTCATTCTGAGGTGTATTGAGCAAGCTGCTTGCTTAAGGCCGTGTGTGGCCAAAGAGAAAACCTTGTACAAGGAGATAAAATTGGCTTTAACCAGATATGTCTACATTAACTGGATTTAATGAAGCGGAGGCATTACTTTTAAGCCCACCCTCGTACAACCACACCTGACATGTTCAATGGTTCTTAATAGATAGAACATTTTCAACTCATTCCTTTCTTGGAAATTCCCCCTGACTATTTATATTTTGGTTATTATTTTGAAAAAGAAGCATTTGCAACCACATGTTCGTAGGGATATTTTTTCTTATTTTTGATCCAGGAACACCCACACAAAGTTTGTAAACATACTTTTGACTCCGTGTATATAAATCCTTTTTGCTCCTATGCCATATATGTACTATAATTTAATTGTGATGCAAAAACTACACCAAAGCTCATACATTGGTGGTCTTGCTTGCAATAAAGATCTAATAGAAAGGAAAGTAGTGCAAGATCAGGAATAAAACACATTTAAGTGCTTGTGGAGCTGAACAGTTCACTCCCAACCTACCACAAGAATAATCATTATTAAAGTAACAATGCAATAACATGGCTCACTCAGGACATCACCTATTTCAATCCTCAGTCACTCCAGGCAATGTCAGGATAGTATCTTAAGACAGGCCATTAACTATTCATCCTGTCTCTTCCGGTTCATCATTCACAACCTCGTATCATGTCTCACTGAATGCCACATAACCACAGCAGCTGATACAGAATTATGAATTACCTGAGTAATCACCCAATTATACAAACTAAATGTTAGTCAAGTGAATAAAATTAACATTTTTAGACATGATTCCAATTAAGTTCTAATGGCTATTCGTCCATATGGAGGTCAGTGTGTTGGAGTCTACATTTTATTAACAGGAATGACTAACACAACATACCATGTCTTTCCATGGGGCAAAATTAATAAAATATCGTTTATGTTGCAACATATTGTATAACGGACACAGCAATTCCATCCAGAGCACACACCATGCTTCCCTGAACAACAAAACTGTGGAAACTGTAACAGTTGCTAACAAACTATGTGCATGTATGTATGCTGTGAATCTTTCACGGTGGATGTCATTAATAAAATCTTCTCTGCAGAGTTTAACCAAGTGACGAGACTGCTGGCCTGAGAAGATTTTATTATGTGCAAGTATGTTTATGCATATAAAAACTGTATTAGAATTCTTACAACTGAATAATACAACATAAAACTGTCTTTTGTGTGAAGAAAACTGAAGCTAAGCTGTATGAATCTTGTTCCAGATACTGTGATATTCGATAACACCAACAGTTACATTCGCAACAAGAAGCTACACTACGCCATCACAATGGTTTCCCCTCCGACAGTGAAGGATGAAGACGATGATGAAATAATACTACAGGATTGATGAAAATCATGCTGTCAGTGAAGAACTTGTGATATAATTATCTTTAAAGTACTGTTCCCTGAATGAAGTTCACAGTACAGTACTTTATATTTAAATTCATGACTTATTAGTAATTTTGTGACCAAATAATTTTAAAATAAAAGATAAAATGATGAAAGTGTTTTGAAAAGTGGAAGTAAGGGTTGAGATGAAGTGAGTATTGGATTACTTATTATGAACTGCCTACAAATATGTTGCAGTTATGGCCAAGTAGATTAATTAATTTAATAGCTGCAATAATTATAAAATAAAACAAAACTGCAGAAATATGAATACCAGAAACTGATATGACATCTGCTAAAAATATTTCAATAAACTCTAGAGTACAAATAAATATTCTCAAACCTTACACCTCACAATATGCGTGCAAGTGTTGCTGTTTTCATAGATATATTTACCTGCTAGATAATACTGGGGAATATTTCACATTGAATGTTTAATCAAAAATGTCAGAACTGTATTTTTTTAATCAAGATAGTTTATTTATACCAGAGGTCACCTTCATGCTTGAATATTTTTTCTAAATTAAAGTCTTAATCGAACATAACTATACTTTCATTCAACAGACTACCAAACAACTACTGATAAATTAAATAATATATACACTTACAAATCCAATTTACTTAACAGCCATTCTTTCTGCCGTGACAGTTGGTCCCTCCTGATACACAATTCTATTAATGCTTAAAAAAACAGAATCAAAAGCTTTTCTGCATTGGAACAAATTCCCGTGGTTACCTTTGGAGCCAGTGATAGTGGAATCTTCCAGTTGCTTTGTTTCAAGGCCATACAAGTAAACTCATGTTTCCTTCCTTCTGATGAACTTGGAGAGGAATTGTGGGTCTCTATGAAGTGTTTCCTGAAGGTCCTGACACACAATGGCCCAATTCTGCTTCTATCCATCAATCAGATGAGAGGCCAGAGATTTTGTGATGATCCACTGCATGTTCAGATTTTGTCACAGTAATTTTAAATTAAACAAATATGACTCCTTTCTCAACTTAATGATGGTGAAACTGCATATTTTCATGATTTGCTTGTGGATGGATGCCGAAAACATTCAACATTCTCAACAAAAGTTATACTTCTGAATTTAAAAAAGTTTTAAATTGTACATTTCTACTGCAATTCTGAACAGTCTGAAACAGAACTTAATGTACACTCATGCACTGGTCTTTAAAATTTGTCATGTTCTTAAACACAAAAACATCAAATCGTGATACACACAACCTTGCTACACAATCCCACACTTCTGAATGAAGCTGATTTTAACACGGTATAACAGAGGACACAGACTATGAGTGACTGTTTATACAAATTGTAATTGTTTCAGCATTACTCACCAGTCTTCCATGGTTGCCCCACAATCTTCTTTTCATAGACCATAATGAAACTAGTTCTTCATAAAGAAACTGGTGATGCAATCACACTAACTGGATGCTGTATGAGATGCAGCTCTGTTATGCCAAAAATGCCACAGCATTATTATAGTGGCAGAAAGCCATGTAGAAATGTTGTACCCACCTTGTTCACATTATAACCACACAAACCACCATAAATTAAATCATATTACAACTAATTACAGTCATTAAAGTAGCTAACATCACCCAAACACGGAGATGTACCACAGCCATCAAAATATGACACTGCGTCAAACGTATGCACAGGGATACACCCTCTTCAGACTCTACAATTAAAATATGAACAAATGAGGTGAAGACCGGGATGGATAAAATATAAGGTGTTTTACATCAGAAAAGTACACACAGTAATTTAATAAAATAATGAACTTTAATTATATTTGTACAAAAAATTATACTTTATATCAGCTGCCATTGTCATTTTAGCAATAAACATATTTGTAGGAAGGTTTTAACATAATGTTGACACAACTAAAAGTATGAATTTAAGATAGTTTAAATAACACTGAAACAAGATCTGGATTTGAACATTCTGTATCTTCAACCTTTTCAGGTCGACCCCATACAATCAGAGTAGGAACACTCTTCAGCTGCAGATGTTTATCTGTCCTAAATGGACATTTGGGATCCTTCCAACTAGAAATAACAGAATAATCACACACACATATCTTCATTAGATTCTTTATATAATGAGGATATTTGGCAGCTGTGACAGAACATAGCTACATACCAGGTCTACAATTTATGACTCTGCGGTTGTGCTTGGATTGCGTGGTTGGCTGGTGCTCTGTTGATGTGGGCAGGAGTTGTGCGCGTTCTTCTGGTGGGTCACCGGCTAATCAGTTTCAGTGCCGCTAGTAACAGCGAACTACGAACATTTCTCGTCACTGATACATGTTATTACATTAATTGTTCTTACCTTAAATCACAAAAGATGTTCAAAGTGACTTCGTTGTGCTTGCAGGCAACTTTACATCTTGTTAACATGTTTCGAAATACTCGACGAAGCTCTTCTTGGGAAATTGCCGAAATCAATTGTCAAATATTTTCTTTAAGTTCTTCTGCAGTGTGCGGATTGTTTATATAAACTTTGTTCTTCAGCATGCCCCACAGGTAAACATCGCACGGGTTCAAGTCTGGGGAACACAAAGGCCACTGATTGATTACTTGTTCACCAAACACTTCTCTTAATGCTAACATCGACCGATTAGCTGTGTGAGCTGTAGCATTGTCTTGCATGAAGAAACCGTAAGCCTTTTCTTCATCGGTCATTTCTTGGAAAAAGGGTCTAAGTATTAAATTTACATGATGTTCACAATTTATTGTTTCATTATGAAATATTGGCCCTATTATTCTCTTGGAGGTAACTGCACACCAGACTCCAACCTTAATGTCATGAACAGGATATTCATGCAACTGATGTGGATCTGGCATTGAAACTGATTCACCAGTGACCCACCGGAAGAACGCTTACGACTCCCGCCCACATCAACAGAGCGCCGGCTGACCACGCAATCCAAGCACAACAGCAGCGTCATAAATTGTAGACCCAGTATATACTGAAAATCCAAATGTGAGTATGGGATATATCGTGATCAAAATCTAAGCAAAGTCATTTAGTTTTGTTATTGTACAAATTTCTGAACTAATACTAGTACAAGAAGACTGTAAACTAGGTAGGAAATAATGATGAAATGCCACTAAGATGGTCTTTGGTCAATGTAGCACTACATTTATGCAAGTTTTCATCTGAAAAATATGTTAAATTTTAGCATACAAGTGCAGTATTGGACCCCTTTAGTACTCCGGCCTGGATACAGTTACATACTTTCCACCAATGTCTTTACACTACAGAGTCTTTAACATCAACATGAATTTATGTGATAACATAGCATTTCTAATGACATACAGAACATCTCTGGATTAAATTCTAAACATGTTTTTGAAGTGTACTTACACGTCTCTATCACCAACACCAACATACACAAAATGTATGTTCTCTGCTTCTTCCACAGCTTTTTCAACTACAGGAGATGCTGTAAAAAAGAAGTGAAAGCATAAACTAAAAGGGCACACAAAAATCTACCTTACTTCCTATCTCACTTCTCGGAGGCATACCCCATTATCACAGACACGTTTTAATGATTAAGTTATGCCGATACAACCATTACCAGCAAAGGCATTATTAATGCAAATTTGGAAACAGTCAATTTCTGTAAGTGAAATAATGATATTAGTTTCATCCACAAAATGTATGGGTTTAGACAGATAGTTATGGTTCGCGGTAAATCACTGACCTATATGAGGAAAACCAAAGGACTAAGTATTGAAACTCAAGGAACTCCATGTTTTATTTTATAGTGTCCCAATTTGAAGAGGTGCTATTATTTTAATCTGGTAATGTTGTTTCTACTTGTTGCCTTCTGTCGTGAAGGTACGATTTAAATCACTACATGTAAATAAATTTTATCGAATTTTATTCTAATCTAATTCCACTGCAAGCTAGCAACTGCTATAACCGGGAGCCGTCAAATTTTGATCAGTTTCTATGATTCCTGTTGAAAGTATCTTGTAAACAAACCTTTTACACAGTCCGGACACCAGCTTTTTCCATCTGCCTTTTTGGAGCCACAAAAATAAAGGTACACTGGTTTATCCTGAGTTTGTAATTCCTCAATTAGGTTGCAAAATGCATCATAACCTTCTACTTCACTCCGAATAGCCATTCTAAGTTGCCAGTTATTAATTTTCCTCACCCAACAGACTGTTTACCTATTAAACTGCCTCAGAGTGAATCTCAGTAGAATTTCCTGTACGCACAATTAAGCTTGGTAACAACACTGTGCACAGGTTGTATTACCAACATACTTCACATGCATCTGCCATACAGCCCTCTAGTTCCTCAATCATGAATGACTGACGCCGTGTCCTGATTGGATCCGACGAGCGATGTAGTTGGCGAATTTCGACACTGAGTTGATTATACTTCGTAACTCCGCTTCGCTGCGAAAAGATGTCGCGAATGCATGTTTGTACCCCTATTCAGTTGTTGTGAATGATCCCCTTCATCCCGCCCAACTTTCGTAAACATTATGTTGAAATTAACCGGTCATGGAAACTAACAATGGCTGGGGGTTCGTTATACTGACCACACGTCACTCTATATCTGGTTGGATGATCATTCACCTCTGCTTAGACATGTGAACGTGAGGCCAGCAGGCAGCTACTCGGCTTTGGCTGTCAGAGGGCTGTTACGTCACGGATTATTATTATTATTATGTTGAAATTAACATATGCCTGTCAGTCTGGCTTCTGTTTTTCGAGGTCTGTGGTGTTTATATCTGACTCTGAACTCAAAGAGAATTAGTTGCAGATTGGAATAAAACTGAAAGACAAGTGATTGTCACAAAACGCATCAATTACATTTCTGACACAGCGGTGGCGGAGCCAATCGCCAGGTACTGGGCAAGACTGATTAGCGAGGCCCTTTGAGAAAAAAATACATGTAGGGCATTTTGGTGATTTCGTTTATAATTTTAACTATTTGGAAACTTCCTGTCTGGAAGTGACTCACCAGATTCATGCAAGTCTTCCTTTTTTTCAGCAGTTAATCTCAATGTGGACAATTATCGCATTGTCTACCAGGGCTAGGTAGTTTTTGTACTTATGCACTTCTTCTGAAACTTATATGCACACAAATACTGATCTCAATTTCTTCTTCATTGTCGTCAACAATATAAGGAGAAAAGGCAATTCCGATGCTTACAAACACAGGTGTGCGGCACGCTACGCCCTGGGCCGTCGCCCACTTCGCCCATCCCCTTCGCCGTCACTGCCGACAAATGTACAAGGCCTCAAAAACGTCTACTGTGAATTCACAATTTTTAGTATAAACAGAACTGACTGGATTACGTACTATGTTAATTTATTCATCAGGTCCGGCAGTAAAGAGCAGCAGTAAATTCATAACTCGGGAAGCAGTGATTAAATTTCTGTACGTTTTGTATTAATTATGATTGCAAGTATTCTTCTTCAGCTATCCCGGATATTATCTTGTCTCTCTCCAACTCTGAATTATTTTCGAAACAATGAATCTATTTACAAATTTGAAAGGGCAGCAAAAACTAAGCACAACCATTATTGCATACGAATGGAATTACAATCAGCGATCCTTAGACTGTGAGGTCACTGTGATCATCTAGTAAGTATTTGGCAGAAATTATTATTATTCTTTAGATAATCAAACTTTTTAGTACAACATAAATGGCCCGTTTTGCCTTTTGGGTAACTATGAATGTGAATAAGCATTTGTGGACAGCTGCCACTTTGTGGTACTTGTGTAGTTTAGCGCAGAAAATATACTAGAGGACACTGACGGATTAATGAATGGGTCCATACACGTAAAATATTAATTTCATAATACATATTGTTCAATAAATAATGTGCAGTTTGTAGCCCGTATACGAATCAATATCAAATTAGCAAACATCATTCTGTAATACTGACTTCTAGGGTTAACAGCTCGAAAATGAGAACCAAAAGGGCATTTTTAGGCATTGTTTTGGCGTGAACTATTGGTGTTAAGGAAACTGAGAAAAGACGAAGGATGAGACCAGTTCAAGAAGCTACATACGGGGTACTTGGCCACGGGAATCTGTTGGAGGAATCAGAAATAATCAGGAAATGACACATCGACCTATAATGACAGCTCCTATTGTAGAAAAAGAGGAAACTGTCATGAGAAATGATTTCCCTGCTAGCTAAAGACTGCTACTCTACGCCGTTTTTTGTTACTGGACAAGACTGAAGATCTTATATTTGCAACTGCAATAGCACCTCAAACACTGAGCGAAGCTCGCCGTTTTGAGGGAACTGCAGTTGATGTATAATATTCACACTTAACGGTGCATTAAAAATTTATACAGGTCTGTTTACACAACACGTTTCTCTAATTCTTCTCTAACAATGCTCTTACACCATCAACTGTTATATCAGCACAAGTCTCATATTGAACGTTTTGGAGCCCCTTTATTGTTTAGGCAATGACCCATCATAATACACAATCCATAATTTTTTTGAAAAGGGCAATTCGAGAGGCATTTAATATATGTCGAATAAGATTCCTTTCTCCGTTATAAAGTAGTTTATTTTCATACAGAAGGGACACTTCCTGCAAATAAGATATCAGTGTTAATGCTGCGCTTCAAATGTCCCGTGTTGAAATGGTTAAGTTGGCAAAAAGAAAGAAAAATGCTGTAATGCATTACGTAAAGTGTGGTTATGTTGTGCAGTGTTTTATGATAAACATCTGGTACGTAACAGTACGAAATAACTGTAGTTAGCCAAGGGTTATTTTGTGTGTTGGATAACAGCGGTGAGAAAAGTTGCAAGTTGTAAGATGTTTCATTATAACAGTTCGTGAAAGTGTTTTTTTCAAGTCTGATACGTAAATAGTTTAAATATACTGTTTATTTCAGGTCAAAATGTCTCTCTCCAAGCCTGTGTTCAACTTCTTAGGATTCTACTTTGAACAACTGCATACAAATCCAGTTAAAACGAAGTCAATCACTAGGTCAGTAATAAACATATTTATATTGTTACTGGAATGATTGAAATAATCTATTTGACACTCCAGAATTGTTTATGATATTCTCAGCGTGTTTTACAGTGAGGTTCAATTGAGAACAAGTTCTTCATTAGACACAAGCCCACCATCCTAAAAAATAGTTTACAGATATACACTTGGCAAAAATAGTTTGGGGATTCATTTGCAATCATGCCTACATTATCACGTAACAAATATTCTGTATTTCCATGTTACAGTACATTTTACACACTATTGTGTCATTAAATTATAACTAATCAAAATTATCCAATTAATTCGGCTGAAAGTCATATCTTGTTTAATTCCACCGGTATTTATATAGCACAATGGTAAATAAGATTCCTCATTATATTACCTGTTCAAGGCCACAACTAACTGTTCAATAAATACTGTTGGATACTTAAGGCCACAGAAAATGTTTATTGTGTGCTGCATGTGTTACAGAACAGTAGAAAAAAACACATTATTTCAGGGCATAATACCACAACAGCTTGCGAAACAATGTCCATGATTATCAACATAGTTACTATTAAAATAATGTAAAATTATTTATGGGGAGTTAGTATTATTTGCCCAGAACTACCATATCCAGTTGTTATTGGGAATTCATTTAAACTTATAAGAACTGAGCATATCCTCTGTTTGGGGGTGATATCCTATTGAAAATGAAAGTAAGAATGTTTCAAGGATGTTGCAGAATTAGGTCCATTTCACTTCTCTAATTTTTTCATTCCTCTCTTAGCGTATATGCAGTTGCACCCTGCAGTGTTACACATTCATTTGACTTAAAAGACTTTGAGTGTCTCCAAGATGACCAAAGTAATCAAAAAGACAAACATGGTTTACCGCATAAAATACTAACTATTGGAACTTGCAGACGCCATGGAGCAGTCTCTGAGATGCTGATAGTTACTCTGTTCATAAAGAAATTCCATGCCTTTTGTGGAATTCAAAAGTTTGTTACCATGTTCACAAGGCCTACTACTGTATCTTATCCTAAGCCAGTTGAATCCAGTCCATATCCCTCAGATCCAACTTTTTAGGATATACTTTTAATATCCTCTCCTCTTGACCTAGATCTTCCAAACAATCTCTTTCTATGAGGTTTTCCAAATAAAATTTATATGCATTTCTCATCTTCCCCATTCAAAATATTCACAGCTACAGGCTGGACAACTGGGGTTTGATTCCCAGCAGAGCCAAAAGATTTTTCTCATGGCATATTTCTCTATACCAGCTCAGGGACCCACCCAGCCTTCTGCCCATCCAAGGGGTACTGGGGGGCCATTTCCCCAGGGTTTAAACAACCGGAGTGTGAAACTAACCACTTACCTACATCTAGTGCCACAGTCAAGAAATAACTGAGCTATGTTTCCACTACTCCGCATGTCTTCATGGCAGGGACAACATTACATGTACCTATTACCCTATTTATCAAGGAGTTATCTCATACTATGGTTAAGAAACAGTTATTTGACAATCAGTAAACATGTTTCACTATTTTAACTATTATTTAATCCATTTTATGAAGTATATGACTTTTCAGCTGTGTGATAGCAACTCTTGGAAACTTAACATCACAGTATCTATCTGGTGTAAAAGTAATCAATCAAGACAGCCTGATTGCCTATGGAATGTTTGGGTGAGTACAATAATTTACGTTTTCAGATGCACAGTTAATCAGGGTAGATATGGAACTTCCACATGAACTCTTCCTGTGATGAAAGTGACTGTGGAACATACCATTCTCTTAATGTTAGCCTTCTGCATTTCTGCATCATCCATTCTCTCAGTCTTCCCTTTGTAAAGAAACAAATTTCTTCCAAAGTGTAGTGGGAAGTAATGAATATGTTTGAAAAAAATTGGAGTGGAACTGGTTAAATTGTATTTTATTCGAAAAGAAATTATTTTGTGAACCATCCATTTCATGTGAGAACCTGCACAGACTGCTGGACATTCAGGTTTAACTTTCAGTTGGAATATAATTTTTATTTCCACTCAGTGTTCTTGTAATGTATATTATGATTTTGTAATTTGTGTAATTCAATGTAGGTAACATTTTATTATAGTCAATATAAATTCAAATTTGTTTAGTTATTTTAGTATATTTATGAGCACAGGATTCTTTGTAATGACGTTATTTATTTTCTAGGCTTCTGTTTGGAGGCTCAGTGCCCCACTATTTCTACAGAGCATTAGATCATTATATATCTGATGACGTTGCTCTGGCACCAGTTAAGCAGTTGATTCTGGAGAGACTGATCTTCATGCCGCTGTTTCAGATTTTGGCCTTATATATGCTTGCAAGACTAGAGGTATCTGTTATGCAGCAATCTTCACCTTGTTTCCAATATGTTTCTACTTTGTGTGGGTCATTTGACAACTAAGCCTCTCTATTTATCCTTTTTTCTTCTTCCAGATTTCCTCCTCTGTGACATCTTTCTTAACTTCTTGTTCCCATCTTGATCCCAGTCTTTCTCTAGGATATTTTCCTTTTACTATAACATTCAAAACCTTGAACCTTCAAAATTAATGGCTAATGGGACTATGGAGAAGCTATGAAAGGCCCTGCAAGCCAGTAGTGGATTTTGAACCTGCTTCAAGAAACAGTCCTTCACTGTAGTAATATTTTTGTCGATATTCATTATTTGTTACAGACTGATACTTATTTTGGGCTAGAATGTATAGCACTTAAATAATCGGAACATAGTTCTGATATGTCAAAGGGGAGCAGAGCTATATATAGAATATAATTTCAGTGAATGTTTTAAAAATTACAGAACAAATATTGAGATGCACAAACTAAGTATGCAGCTGAAGATGGCTGTTTTCTGGGTTGTAACACCATGCAATGTGGTAGCAGTTTACAAACATTCCAAAGGTACTTGCTGCCTCCATCATCGGACTGCTTGGTGCTACAACCCTGAAGTCCGCCATCTTCATACTTGCCACTGTGAAAACCTCAAATCCTGCAAAGTATGTAGTTATAAATTCTGGTTCCTTCCATCACCAAACTTATGTCTCTTAAAATTTCTGAAAAATATTTGTTATGGTTTCAACTTCCACACAGGGCTGTGGAGTTGGTACTAAAACCTCTGACTCCTTCATAAAAGCTCAATATGTATTAATAATGGTAAACCTACTAAAATGGTACCATAAGAGATTTCATCACCACCAGACTTATAATCTATATTTATATAAATATAAGTCTAATGGTTATTGCAGAAATCAGTTGATTTATAAACAGTGTGTATTCTTAAGGTACCAGAGCCAAAGTTACAAAGCATTATTCATTGAATCTCCCTAAGCATGAGGCCGCCAGCAGCTCACATGGTAGCGAAAGTGTTATAATAGTATTTTCTTAAGATTTTATATCAGAGTCGGAGTCAATGTTGGTACATTTTTACCGACTCCGCCTAAAATTGCTTCCGACTCCACAGCCCTGCTTACACACAGGTGAGTTATCATGTATCTATAAACCCTGAATTTAGTATAAACTTGAAGAAGTCTGGGTTTATTGTGATGGAACTTATCATCCATCTGCCTGAACCAGTGAACTAAACCAACATTTTTTGATGCACTGCTAAATACCTCTGCAGCATCTCTTCTGTAAATGTTTTTTCTTCTTTGTTTTCAAACAAAATTTAAACACTGTAATATTTGTTTTCAGGGTAAATCCCAACAGCAGGCGGCTAAACAGCTTTCTCAGCTGTACTGGCCTGTAGTTATAGCCAATTGGAAATGGTTATCTCTCCTGCAGTTTGTTAACTTTACATTTGTTCATCCAATGGTAAGGAATGACTAAGCATTTCTATACTTATCCAGGAAGTATGAAAATGTAAACACTGAAATAAAAAGGAATATTGTCATTATGTATATTGCAAACACATGAACTTCTGTTCAAAAGTCCTTAACTTGGAGGAGGCTATTTGGATTGGTATATGAATGGCCAATGTATACTGGGTATATTAATATCTGTGAAAAAGAAACATAACGTGTTAAGGCAAAACGTGTGGGTAGTTTGAGGTGCTTTTCGCTTGGGTAATAGACATGGAGATTAGTGGATAGAGTTGAGGGGACTCTTATAATCCAAGACATGAAACTGTCGTGGTTATTGTTCATACTCCAGAGGATAATCGCTACCATAGTACACATTCCGTGTTACATGAAGCTGTAAATCAAACTTGCATGGTCTGTTCATTGTTTCCCATTTTGTTCGATATAAGATAGCAAAAGGCTGATAATTCTTCCACATGCTTAATAGTGTGTTCATGTAATCTCATCTTATATAGTAACATATATTATGCATGTTGTAAGTGAACAGTTATTTGACAGCTTGTGGGGACACAAGTGTGGAATATTTATGTCTTTCTAAGTATCCATAGTAACTTGTCTTGAACCTACTAGAAGGAATTTATAAGAAAATGGGATACCTGGATTTAATCCCCAACCAAGGCAACAAAAGCAATTACCCACTGACCCTTATAATACATGGCAGTAAGATGGTTTCCTAATAAATTATCTGTGTAACTTGCAGTTGAGAGTGTTGGTGGCCAATATGATTGGCTTTGTCTGGATTGTATATATGGCCAACAAACGCCGACAGTCCCGAGATCAGAGAGGCAGCAGACAGTAATGGACTCTGGAACAACACTGAAGATCACAACAGAGAAGAATAAAGGCTTCACCGTATGAACTGTTCTTGAGCAACATTTGACATGGTTACATTCATAAATAAAAATTTGCTGTGGTCAGTCAATCTTAACAGAATTTTGGTATGTAAATAAAGTATTTTGGTCCAGAGTTTATTCAGGGGATGTAAAGAAAATCTGTAACATGAACTTCAAGAGACATTCATATATACAAACATTCCTTATGGGTAGAAATGAATACTGTGTATTTTAGAAGCATTTATAGAAACATATTTTGAAGGTAAAGTAAAATAGTTTTTGGATTAGGTATTGTTTCATAAATCACTGCACTTTTGAAAGCGACAGTACATTGCTGGACATGTGGTAAATGTAAAATCATTCTGCATGACCATAGCATATTAGGAACATGGAAGGATTGTGAGTAGTGCTTCTAGATTTTTTGTGAAACATTGTGTTTTAGTGTGGAACAGAGGTCAATGGTCAGCTTCTGTCCATTGTTCAACACTACTAGAATTTTCTGTGATCAGGAGAATTAGTTGTTTCCATCATCAGAAATGGAAGACAGCTTTTTCTTAAACTATGAAAACTGTATTGACAGTATGCACGATTAGCAGTTGTATGTTACACAGATAATATGAAATCTAAAATCTGTTTGGAATTTAGGATTTGAAGTTTTCATGAGTCTGAAGATGACTGTCTTCTGGGTTGTTGCACTGTGTAGTCTGGTAGAACCCAGAAGACAGCCATCTTCTGTTTGGAATTTATGGAACAGCCATGTGATATGGGCACCTGCTGTTGCAGCCATATTCTGCTAGTTTGTTTTACTACTTCTTTTATGGTGTGATGGGTCTTGCAACAAAATATTACTGAATATGAGGCATAATAATAATTTCAATATGATGGATTAAAGATGATGAAATTTCTTTGTTTCCCATAGTAGTGGCTGCTATTTTATTAGAATAGAAGGGGTTATAGACTGTCATCCTAAACAAAAATAATAATTTATGATTTTGAAAATCATAACTAACAAAACAATTAACTACCTGTCTAGGTTTAGGTTCATTTCATTTTGAAATTTGGGTGTTAAAATACAGGAATCATCAAAATATAAGAGGTTAAAAATGCATTTATATTTGTTTTTCTTTCCTTTCATTTTGTAAATTTTGGATTACAGGCTGTGGAACACGTTGATATGCTTCTAGATGCACAAATTAATGTGTTCTTAAAGTTTTTGGAATTTATAAATGTGAAGTATCTGAGCAGACCTTTTCAGTTTCTTCTTAATAATTTCTTAAGCATATCCCAAATACCTCCTACCTTGCAGTTGGGCATACAACTATTATTTTCTAACAAGCATATTCAGTTGAATAATTACTGCTAAGTATTCCTTCATCCTTAAACTGTTGGTTTCCTTAGTGCTTAAGATTTTGTTTTCAAGAAGTACATTTTAGCAGTGCATTGTAGTGAACCCCTTTGTGCTTCAGTGTTTGGAAGGTAAGAGATGAGCTATTCTGATTATGGTTCTTCATAATTATCATCAGTCTTGTTTTGGAGTAATTTGTAAAATTATGAATGGCTTTTAGTTAAATTCCAAATGTGTAAATTTACGTGATAGCCGAGGCATGGCCTGGCAAAGGAACAGTATGACAGTACATAACCACTGCAGTTGACAGAACATTGTTAAACAAACCAAGAACCTTTCCTAAACTACAATCTCCTATAATAATTGAAAGGAAAGATCATCCCTTAGCACAAGACAAAGCCATAGTGCATAACAGACATCTTGCTTTCCACATTTTAAAGCAGATGCTATGTTTAAGGAATAATTTTAACATAGGAAAAGGTCATAATTGTACATTTCTGAAATTGGTTCTTGATATGCATAGATTTTATATATTTAGATTTTATGTACATTATGTCAGTAGACACACAGGATGTGTCTATTTTACAGAAGTATAGAATTATATTTTTTAATAATGCTCAACATTGTTGTTCTTATTGTCCTTGTATAACTGTTATTTCCATTCACATTTATATGTTGTTTTATATATATATATACATTACGAATAAAGTATTTGGTTTTTTCTCAAGCTTGTTAATTTTATTACTCTGATCTTTTAAGCCAATGCCATAGCTTCTGTTCAGCATACTTCTAGGTTAGCCATCAGTATCTTTTCAGTGAATGAATGAAACAGAGGGAGGGATTGGGAGGTCACCAATCACAATTGTGGCCAGAAACAACTCAAAATCCAAAGTATAGATTTCAGGTGCTACCAGCATTTGAGATACAACTATAGAAAACCCTGGGAACCCCACCTCTAAAGTTATAAATAGCCAAGATGCATAGGTGGTCTCAAAGGAGACGGTTTTCCTGTCCTGTCAGAGAACACATAGGATTCTCACTGAAGGACCCAGGAATGCTCATTAATGAACACAGAATAAATGATGATAAAGTGTATTATATTTTATAACAATAACAGAAAACAACAACAAACAGACTCAATGGGGGCTTACATCCCGGTCTCTCAAATGAGATCAAAGTGGTGTGCACTTGTTTTTCAGGGCAACCCACACAGGACTGGCTGAGATCCACTGATACAGGTTCCTACTACCTGAAAGATGCCAGACGTAACTTTATAGGCTTGCACTGTCATCATGCTTGTAATGAAGAAAAACATTTCATATAAGTTTCTGTACCAAATATCAGATGCTTAACTGCAATGGTTCATTCGTTACTTCGGACACTAAATGATGAAAAGTGGTTTTCATGTTGTTGCTGTTGCTCGCAAGAATACACAAAACAGGAAACAAACTCATCTGCACACAAGAGATAAAACACAACAACAGAAATCATTTTAGCGATTTTCAAGATTTTTACTTAATTCTTCTTTATTACGCCATCTCCTTTACAGGAGGTTGGCGACATATTATGAACAGGATCCTTCCATCCTTTTCTCGGACTGGGACCTGTTCATATATGTTTTTTTAGACAGGTGATACAGAAGTGGTTTGCCATTGCCTTCTTCTGTGTGTATGGAGTAATTTTTGGGATGCCACGGAGGAAAACTCCGTGTTGTCTAGACCACGGCCTTGCCCAACACAAGTTATAAATTCGGACACCGCCGGGAATCGAACCCGGGACCCCAGGATTACAAGGCCAGCATTCTAACCGCTAGACCACCGTGGCGGTTTTTACTTAACATTAACATAATATTTTAGTAGTTTATCTGGACAAAAAAACAACACAATGTGGTCTGCACTGAGAAAGTTCAATAGCTGCCATACAACACATGATTCTGATGATGAATACCTCTGGTCAAAGTAAGTTGTTTGGTAACAAGAAACCACTTTAAAAAACTGATAAAGGCATGTGTAAAAAGTGATCGATGATAAACAACACACTGGGATGCTACACTGCAGGATTAGAAATTATTACTTTCTAACTACAGATAGTTTCACCCTGAAAAGGGTCATTCAGTTAGAGATAATCAAAGTTAAGACGCTTACCATTTGAAACTTTCCTTTTCCTTGCAGCAGGAAACAAGGAGCCAGGGCGTATTCTCAATCAGCATGACAGTTCAGTATTTGGCAGCTGAGCGCATCATGCATTATTAGCTTCCTGCAAACATTGACACCATAAAGCCAGGCAGCAGTATCAGAAAGACTGGAGCATACAAAACATAGTCAGACTAAATAACCTGTTTATAATGTGTACAAATCCATGAAGTGGGAGGAATTATGGATACCTCATCCCCAAATTAAGTGAAAAATACAGTTGGTGAAGGAATGGGCACTTCTTGAAACAGTTTAGGAAATGATAAAATTGATGAATTTAACATCGCTGAAGGCCGCATCCTACACTGAAATTGCTTCTTCCAGAAGAATAAAATTCACTTCCAGGGAACTACATGAGCTGTGTAACACTGCCAAAAAGAAGTGGTATTTCATTTGAGTGAAAAAATCTAGGGTCATTCAAAAGTGCTGATAGAATAATTATATATTTGCAAATTCTGATTATCCTCTTTAAGACACAAATGGGATAACATAAAGTCAGGTCTTTCTGCACCTTTTTTAAAATCCTGAGCTATAAACTGTCCATACTGGAAAAGAAGACAGGTTTATTCCAAATGCTGCACTAACAATTTTTATAATTGTGAGAAATGGTTCAAATGAAAATTTCACTCTCCCTAGCAAATGTGTTTTAGTTACAAACAATGCAACTATAGTAACATTCAACTTATCTGGAACCAACTTCTTTGAACCAAAAAGATAATGCCGCTTCTGACGGACATTTCGTTCCTGTTGCTGCTTGTCCCACTCTGCCAACCTAGTTTTGATCACCGAGCATAACGGCTGACAGCAGGTAGCGCTTCTCCCAATAGCGGTTCTTGTGTGAAGAGTAGACATGTACAAGTGATGTGTTATCAAAAGATGTGCTAAAGCTCGATGATGGGTAACACCATGTCAGTTACTGAGATAGAAACATTAAGGATAAAAATTCATCTGCAAAATGGACAAGGATATTTACACAAGCCTTGGTAATGATTTTTCACTTCTATTAATTATAAAACCAATGTAAGACACAATATTAACATTTTATATCCGTAATCATACATAGCATTGTGGCATACTTTACAGCAAAGTAATAAATAAAATAAAATAAATAAATAAATACATAAATAAAATGTTACAATATGATACATCTGGTTTGAAAAATGCTAAAATGTTGTTACAAATAACAACAAAATATATTAATGTTACTAAATTTAAAAAAATACAATCTCAACAACAAGACTAGGGTACACAGTATCCATCGTATTTAGTCAAAGATCTTGAAAATACAACTTCACATAACATATCAACCTGAACACAAGTAATTTCACTGCAAGTACAGAAGACAAGCTAAGGATGGCAAAACTTTTCATAACATGGGCCATACTATTATGTTGGAAGGAACAGTCATTACAAAATTGTTAAGTTCATAATTTGTTCTGGATCAGAATTCAGTGTTAAAAAACTGATCAATTTTAATGTTTTTTAAACAGTGAATCTTTTCCCAGACTATGATAGTTTGTCTTCAAACAAAATCCTGTCTTGTCAACATCCATTTCTTTAATGAGCTCTGTTGAGAAGAGTAAATTTAACTATAATATGTGTTAAAATTTTCAGTCTACATATTTTTATTGTTATTTAATGGGTCAAAGTTTTGCCATCCCAGATACAATAATTTGAATAAAATGAATATCAAAATTTTCAGATAGAACTGAATCATATCTTAATTAAGAAGGAAAATGGATATCACATCAAAATCACATTAAATCTATTGTTTTCCAAGTACACTCCAAATGACAATTTATTACTCTGCAGAATATAACATCTTAATATTTCAAATCTGGATGCTCTAGGCGCAATTTTGTTTGAAACTATAAACAAAAATATATAATACTGGAAACCAAAGCAACTGAGCCTGATTTCAAAACAGTATCTTTTGTATTCAATGGTGTGGCTAATGGAACAGAGCTATCTGCTGGTTTTCCATACTCTTAGGATATTGAGTATTGTCATACAAGAAGGATAATTACCTCTGCAATATAATATCACTATTAAACATTTTCTAGCTTTCTTTTAGATGAATTCCACATCTTAATAACTAGAAATCTGAGAGTAAATATATATTTTTAATAAATATATAAATCAACAAAATAAATCAAGTGAGTGTATACTGAATAACACAACTTATTACACATTCCCATACTAGGATGAAAACATTTTAAACTGTCATGAAAGCATATAAGAAAGTTGTACATGAATTCCTTACTCCAGTCTATTCAATTTATATCAATAAAAAATAATATATATATATATATATGTAAATAAATATAGTAAATCTGCCTTTCCAAGCATGTTAAATAAAGAGACTACCACATTAAATTATTGAGGTAAAATGTATGTGAGATCAAATTTCTATGATAAGTTCACTGACTAGACCAACAAAAACAAAATTAATCACCCAGAAATTTAACTGCTACCTTGAATAACATGTAAGATTATATACACAATTAGCTAAATGTCTTTTTTACATCATGAGTCCTTATTCATATTAATCAGCACCTGAAGCAATGTGATATGGTGAATTTAACTGCTTATACCCAAAATGTAGCTTGTTGGTACCGGACAGAAATGAATATTTTCCTTTCAGCCAAAGTAAATTAACACTTCAAATTACTTTGTTCCATTATTGCCATTTTGATCTACTGACAATACTCTTTGAATTTTCTATGATTACCATCACAACGTTCTACCAGATCTTATTCCAGTATAAGGAATATCCAAACCCATTCTTCCTCGAATATTTTCTGCATGGCACTCCTATTCTTCCTGACCTCAAACAATATTTAAAAATAAGCAAATCAGATGGGAGTTAGTGGAACAACCAAAAGATATACTCATTCTTATAAGGTTGCAAAAATTGTTTTGAACACTTCTGTTGATTCAGAAACAAAGACAGCAAAATGTAAAACTTTATGGTATTATCCTAAAGTAGATTTTATATTCCAATTTATTACAAGCAACATATTTTCTGCTCAAACACATATCTTTGTGTGTGGGGGACAAACATAAGACCCTAGTTTAAAATGCTATCAATCGACAGGTTTTTTGTATGCAACATTTCTGTTAATTCTAGTTTTCAGTATCAAGTTTATATGGGTTTGAAATGAAAATGAGTTTACTATGGTGTATAAATTTCAAATTAATGCCTCTGTTTGATATTTATTGTAAATAATGCTAAAATTATGGTTCCAGTGAGCAATCACTTTCTAGATATATTTAATCCTTTAAAACATGAAGTGGATTTTCAACTAAAGCTTAACTAACAATCAGTCACCAAGGTCTGTGCAGTTTAGTTATATTATGAACTGACATTATGGTACAATAAACCCTTATTAAATGTGTTCTTCTATCATAGAATTTGCCTATAAATGCAAAAATCATTTCCTGAAAATGGAAAATTTGAATATATGCTGTCTGCCAACATGCATCCCAGTACTTTCTCCTAATTAAGCTGCACATCCTGCATTCTCTCACATCA